CCATTTCTTGCTTTGCGGCTGATTTCAGGCAAAAATAATTTATAGTTAAAAAAACCACTAAGTGTCATGCATGTTCATACCATTCATCATTCAGCATGCTTCCCTAGCACTTGAATAACAAAGCAATTCTTACATTAATCTGTGTGTCTAACTAAATGCAAATTGCTTTTTGCCTTCCCCTTCCTCTCTGCTTTTGCTTCATGTGCTCTTGCTATTTCTTTCTGTAAATCATTGCTAGTTCGACCAAGCTCAAAAGCTCATGTTTTTTTCTCATGCTAGGGATCACTGCAAAGGTGGTGATTTATGCATCATGATTTTTAGTGCCCTTCTTGCTTATTCATTCTACTGACGGAGTTTGAAAAAAAAAAAAACGCTCTTTTTATCACATCTTTAATGAACTGCATAGCTTCCTGAAAAATCTCCTAGACATTTTCCTCATGAGATACCACTGTCTCAGTTTTACCAACTCCACTTTGCTGAAGTCTAGTGCTTTCAACTACAAAAACCAAGCAAACAAAAAAAGTGTGGGTGGTGCCCACACTGCTCAGACCGCTGCGGACCTGCTCGCCAGCCTTTCGCCTGCCCCTTGCCCTCGGCAGACCTTTCTTCGACATCTCCACTGCACTGGCATTTTCCCTGAATATCCTGACATTTCCAAAGGAGTCGGTGTGCAAAAGCAGCCCCCATTTTCCCGATCGCCCTGTCCACCTCATCCTGATGCCTGCTTGCTGCCCAGCTGCTCTCCTGAGATACGGTCTTACTGCCTCAAAGGGGGCTTTTTTTTTTCCTTTTCATCTGAGTTCACTGTCAAAACACTGCCCAACTCGAGCCTGACCACTGGCTCAGGGATTTTCCAGGCTGGGATTTTAAGAGCCTGTTTGGTGGCTGTGTTCAGGGTGCCCCAACGTGGTGGACCGGGGTGGACCCACACTGTTCAGTTATCTTACGGTAAGGTCATACACAGAAGACATCTATAAAGCAGCTCATTTTGGGGTTCTCCTCTGTATCACATGAGCTGCAGCATTGTAATGTATTTTTCAGAGAGAGTATGCTGCTTATAAAAATAGTTCTGTGCATGCTAAATATGGGAGATTTGAAAAATGTACCTGTGTCATATCACTATTTTACAGAAACCTTAGTTCAGTGATTGGCACCAAAGAGCTCTTGCAGTTTTCTTGCTCTAAGCATTTGGACAAAGACTATGATCTTGGTAGTAGGTCCGCAGTTGGGTGAGAAAAGTTCCCTTTTACACATTGGTCCAGTGGCACGGAGCAGCCCTTGGAGTCCCTGGGGAGCACTGGCAGCACCCGCAGAGCTTCCTACCAGCACAGCCGACCCTTCCTTCATCCCCCCTGCTTTGGCCAGCACTTGCTGCAGAGCCAGGCGGAGCAACAGGCATCTCTGTGCTGACTGCCCGGGGTGCTGGATAAGGTCCTCTGGCAGAGGGCTCACAGGAGAGTTATTTTCCCCCTGTGCCTTGCATGTAGGCTGTGAGAAGAGGGCTCCTTTGGTCAGAGGCCAGCCCCTCCAGCAATCTTTCTGACCAGGAGTCCTACAGACAAATGTCCACATGTAAAGCTGGTGGCATTCCCAGTCTCCAAGCTGCCCTTGCAGCGGAAGGGGCACTGCCAGCCACTTGGCATGCAAGTGCTTACCTGTGGGTTGATGCTCAGGACTGGAAGCCTCTGCTGTGCTGGGGCTCTCATTTACAGCTCTGTGGGAACTCGCTGCGCACTCAGCTCCTCCAAGCCTTGTTCTGCCTCTACTCCCCAGCTCGAGCATCTGGCTTCTCTATGAGACACGCAGAAAGATTTGTGTGCCCCAAAGCATGGCTTTCTTCTACGAATAGAAGTTGGACTAGATGATCATTGTAGGTCCCTTCCAACTGAAATATTCTATTCTATTCTATATTAGGAGGACAAAAAGAGATGTTATGAACTTGCAGCAGACCATCATAGCTAGAGCTACAGCAGTATCTTGTCAACTCTATTGGTTACCTTCTCTGTTGGCTGGAGAGCAAAAGGAGTCTAACATCCCCTGCTGGCTGATGTCCCCCCTCTGCTTTTCAGCTCTTGCAGTTAGCTCCTGAGACCCAAGAACCACATCCACCGCAGAGCCCTCCTTCCAGGTGATCCCGGCTTGTATGTAACCACAGGGGGGACTGGAACATGAAGTTTGACAGATTGAGCCTCAAATTGCAGAGCTAATTTTTAGCTGTTTCAGGAGCACACTTCTAGGGTCCCCATCTGAATAGCAGGGTGACTTCCCTGTAAGTGGAGGCATTTTGGTCAGGACTGGGAATCTGTCTCCAAGATCAAGTCCCTCTCCAAGAAAATGAGGGGGCACATTGCAAGCTTGAGTTGCCAACGCCCCGCAGCCTTGGCTATAGTCACGCAGAGCAGGCAGGTACCTGAACCCCCTGCGGATGTACAGTCTCCACCTCTCTGGCAATGGGAACAACACCGTCGGTGACAGGAATTAGTACAAGCATCTGAAGTGGGGAGAAGGTCCTCCAGGAGTTTGCTCATGCAGCCTGTCTATGGTAAGGAGAGTGCCCAAAGACAGAGCAGCAGGATCCAGCATGAAGGTGCGGTAGGAAGAGCTCCTTCTTCTAGCCCGATGCTTTCACCTTGCAGCCCAGACCTTCCCGAAGACCTGCCGGGTGAGCAGAGTTCGGGAAGAGAGGAGGGAGTCCTACCAGCCCCCCTCACTGGTCTGCCAGCACAGGGCTGCTCGTAACTGCTCTGTGAAAGCCCCGTGGGCAGCCCAGCGTTCCTGTGCCAGCCCGGGGGAACGGGCCAGCCAGGTTGCAAACCCCAGGCAAGCCTGCAGCAGCCTGCCCGGCCCCTCTTGAGACTCTGCTGCCAACAGCCTGCAGATTGCTGGGTCCTCAGAGAGGGGACACGGACCAGGCAACAGCTCGTGGGGCTGCATGGGACATAGGGAGGGCTCCTGCATGTGCTGCTTTCGAGATGGCAGAGCCAGCTCTCCAAGTGATGGTCTGGCTTGGCATGAGCCTGGCCAGGAGCTTGCATCACCCTTGTTAGTGGCTTCGTGCTGAGCAGAGGGACACGCTGCTACCACTCTGCGCATGCTGCGGTTCCACGGGGCCAGTGTGCTCCTGCCACCTCCCCATGCGATCTGTGCGACTCATCCCGGGTGAGCCGGCAGAGGAGAGGGCATGAAAATGGACTTTTTAAACTTTTTTAAAGGCAATGACTTGTGAAGAGCCTGAATAGGTTTTATCAAAACAGGTGTCAGTGCTGGAAAAATCAGAGATGTTGTTAAAAATGTGTTAATGTGTTAAATATCTCACTGCAAGGGACTGTGGTTTGAGTGGGGTGTTGGACCACAGGCCCCCAGACCTCCCTTCCCATCCTACATGATTCTTTGTCTTTATGATCCCGGTGCCCTGCTCCTGCCAGGAAGGAGGGTCCCTGCTGGAGGGGCTGGCAGGGAGCTGCCGGTGAAGGATCTGCTGCCTGAGCAGGCCTGGAGGTACTTACAGGCTCTGCCAAGGAGTCCCTGAAGGGGTGTGGAGTAGGAAGGAGATGCAAGTGCCAATCCTCTCTGTGGTGTGATTAAGGAGACCCACACCACAACTGAACCCCCTCCTGACCCCAGTGAGCCCCAACCCACAAGGTAACATCGCCCAGGATGTTTTCAGAGGGTTTTGGAATTGTCAGCCCAGCGTGCCCACGGTGTGCAGGGTGATCCAAACTCATGCATGGTGGCAAAGGAAACATCACCCAGATCTTCCCCTAATTCACCTTGGTCCTTGAGAATACTGAAAGAAAAATGGATGTTATTCATTGCACGGAGGGGCACCTTGTAAGGTGCGTGTCCCACCTGAAGGGCACCCACCAAGCACACAGCCTGGGACAGAGCCAGGGGAAGGCTGGTGGCTGTGAAACTAAAGAAACAGCCAAACTATTCCGTGACCTGTTTCAGCTGAAAAATGCTGTCAGCCATAGCGAACCCTGATGAGATAAGTGCAGGGAGAGCAGAAGCCCTCGGCCCTGCGTGCTCCGAGAGCCATTGGTCAAATGCAAGTGCATTGGTCAGGGAGAGAGGAGCAATTGCTAGCTCCAGCTAAATCTTGACTCATGTAAGGAGAGCATGAAGTGAGGTGCACAGGTCCCAGAACAGAGCTACAAAGGTGAAATCAATTAGCGTAGATTACAGGAGCTCTTTGCTGAAGCAGGGCCTCAGCCCTCCTGCAACACAGCTCCCAACAGGCCGTCCTCACAGCTGCTCTAGCAAAGACATGGGGTAGCTCCTCAGCCTGGTTCACCCCAGGGGGATAGTAAACAGCAGAAGAGGGTGGACAAAGACTGTAAGGCAACGTTGGGCCAGGCTGATGTTTCAAGATATCATGAGCCATGTAAGGTCAGTGCTTCCCTCTTGCAGACTCAGCAGTCAGTGTTTGCTGTGTAGAGGAGAGGAGCACATCTAGACTTGCAGATGGAGGTGGTGACTGCTCCAATAGTTAAGGAGCTAAACCTTTGTAAACAGTTCTCTCTATTTCTGGACTTCAAGAGATTTTAAGAGATTTTTCTTTGAAAACAGTATAATTGAAATAATGAGTGAACAGTGATATTTAGCGTGCTAGGATTAATGCATGAATGATTGCAGAGTCATAAAGTCCATCACAAGAAACAATCAAATACAGGTGAAACATTTGACCTTTTAGTGCAACTCAGGGCTGAGCAGATGAACTTAGACTGTGATAAGAGATGGACAGCTGATCTAATCAGCCTCTTCTCTTCAGGGATGCCTTTTTCTAGAATAGCTTCATAAAGCAAAACCTTTTTATAGTACGCAATGAATGATCCCAGCTCAAGTAATAACATTGAGTTGTTGACTCTGCTTACCAGACACAACAAATCACTATAGCCCAATGGATACCACATGATAACTGAAGAAGTCCCCATCCAAAAAATCCCCAATGCAAGGAAATGCTAAAGCAATGACACAGATGAGCTGCCTCTAGCCTGCAGTCATCCCATCCCCTCAACTCCTCCTTGGTCAGGTGTTGCTGTCTCCATCTCAGGCAGAGCTGCCTCTGAAAGGCAGATCCTGTGCATCTGTTTAGTTTTTATGCTGTAGATGATGGGGTTCAGCATAGGGGAGGGGGGCAGCAGGTAGACATTGTCCATGATGATGTGAATGAGAGGGGAAGCATGCTTGCCATACCAGTGAACCATGGACAAGACAACCAGGATCAGGACTGCCAGGATACAGGACAGGCAGTTGTTCAAAGCCTTGAGACGCTCCCTCTGGGATGTGATGCTCAGAATGGCCCTAGCAATATATGGCATGAAAATGAGAAGGAGATCGAAGTCAGAAAGAGACTAGCTACAGCAAAGCCATACCAGTTATTGAATGTGATGTCTATACACACCAGCTTGATCAGGTCCTGATGCAGACAGTAATCCTTAATTCCAGAAGTGGAGGAATGGTTGCGGAGCAACCTGGAGCAGCCCAGGACACCAGCCTGATCCTGCCTATCCTGGCACTGGTGAGCATGGAGGAGTATCTCAGCAGATAGCAGATGGCCACATAGCGATCGAAGGTCATGGCTGGAAGCACAGAGGACTGAAGGAATGAATTAAAAAAGATAGAGCAAACCAAGCATCAAGACTAACCTGCCTGGCATCAAACCATGAAACACTCATTACTGTTGGTGTTGTAGAGACAAACCCAAACTGGTGATGACAGCACAAATACAGGGGCTCACGGGCTTAAGTGAGTCCTGGTGACAAACAGGGTTGTGCAGTTCCCCACAAGTGACAGAAGATAAGCAGAAGAAAATGGGATAAAGAGCAAGCTGCAACCATCTTCCATCCCAGCAATGCCAGTCAGGATTAACACCAAGGGTTGCAAGCCAGTGCTGTTCCATAATGTCATACTGTAACAGGGATGCTCTGCAGTAGATCACTACAGGGTGTTTTAAATGAAGATCCTCTCGCTCTACCTCACAGAAAGAATTTGAGGGCGTAGCCTCGCCTGGGAAACAAGAACAATTCTGCTGCTCTTGGCAGTCTTCGCAACATCATCCTCTTCCAGCAACAATCAAGAGACAGAGGGCAAGAG